CTGGCATAATCCTTACCATTGAATCAGCACCAATAAAAGCAAAGTTAAAGAAATAAAACTGAATATTTAGTTCTCCATAATTAACTTTTTTTTAACTCCCTAAACCCAACCACCACGCCTTTCTTTACCCCCTCCCGCCGTTCACACCACCACTTCTTACTCAGAATTCTCTTTCTACCTAACCACCACTTAGTCAAAATGAATTTAAATGATGACCTGAAACCTTCAGAATGTTCAAGTTGCCGAAAACAATGAATTCACCTTAGAACTTCCCAACTTCCAAAGCAAACCCTCGATTAAACCACCCACTCCCACTCTGATATGTTAAAAAACTACACTCAATCCGAAATCAAACTAGCCTACCAAATCGTTCAAGCCGACTTATTTAACTCTCTCTTACAAGCCAAAAGTGGAGAAAGAATCCGATTTGGTAATTTAGGTAAATTCAAAAAAACTGAACAGTTGGTAAAAAGTAAACAATATGGCAACCATCTTTATTGCAAATTAAGTTTTGCTTGTTTTAGTAAATTAAAAGCGGCTTTTCATGACCCCAACTTAGTAAAAAGTATAGATTAAAATAAAAATGGATAAAAAAATTTTGTTGCTAGTAGTCGCTGCCGTGTGTATCGGTCTCTATTTCTATGGTTCCCAACTCAAAAAAGATAACCAATATACTAAATACTTACCGGTCATTGGTGGTCTAGCCTTTGGTCTCAACACTCTCGTCAATTTAGCCCACTCCGAAGAGCCAAAGTTAGAAAAGCCAATTCCCACTCACCTCCAAAAACCACTCTAATCATTATGGTAAAAATCGATAATCTTCAACAAGCCCAAACTAATCAAACTGAAAGTGGTGATTTTAGCACTCAAAATCAGCAAGCCCAAACTCAATCAAATGCTAAGTCAAATGAGACTAAATCCTCCGGACTAATGACCATTATCGGGCAACTCTTACCCTTAGCCCCGTTTGCCTTTGAACAGTTTACCAGACAAAAAGTCCCCCAAATGACCGGCACCATTGCCGAAATGCAAATGGCACTAATCCAAATCCAATCCAATTTGCAAACCATCGTTAATAATCAACAAGCCCTCAGTCAACGACTAATCGCTTTAGAAACTAACGCTTCCCACCAACTCACCACCCTCACCCAACAATTTCAATCTTTACGTTTAACCCATACCAAAGAACAACAACAGATTGAATATAATCCTAATCAACAACTAACCAACCAAGAATAATTAACATGTCCTTCCTACCCGACTTAACTCCCTTAATCCAACAAATCAAAGAATTTAATCAAAACCAGTTAAAAACTAACCAGTTGCTAACTGAAATTAAAGAACTATTAACTAAAAAATAACATGCCTAACTTAGAAAATTTAGAAAGAAAGCCCACTCACCGTTCCCCCCTCTTAACTGCTCGGCGGGAAGAAATTCTCTATCGCGAAGACATTAAAACCTCGTTTGGTTATGCCCTCGCTGGAATTACCATCTCCCTCGCCATTGCCGGTGGAGTTTATGTGATCGGCAAACAATTACTCAAATAAAAATATGAATCCTGAAAATAACTCTTGAAAATCATACGTGGACTGATGACCGACTTACTTAGTCTTAGGCATTAGCCTAGCTTACTTCGTCGACCAAACTGGCATCGTCCAACAACTAACTAACAAATTATTTAAAAAAGAGGAAGAAGAAAAAACTCTCCACTCGCTTCAAAGATAAAGTGAAATCCAACTTTGAAGACTAAAATCTCCCTCTTTAACTAACCCGATCCCTTATGAACTCCGAACTCTGAACCCTTAACCTCCAAGACTTAGAAGCTCTAATCACTAAAAGCAATTGCTCGTGCCATTTTATCAATCCGAACAAAACTCGGATTATCTTATGGAAAGAAGTCAAAGATAATGTAATCACTTACTACTTACGCCTTGGCATCCAAAAATTTATCTCTTACCCCCTCACTGATAAAAATGGGGAAACCTATTGAAGATTTAAGGTGTGAGAGCGAGAGCATGAAACTCCGGCTGAACTTTCCGCAAAAGAGACTTCATCTACTCCTGACCCCGACCCCATCACCAAATTTCAGCAACGCCAAACTAAAACCGAAAGCCTAAATCATGGTAAATCAAATGATGCTGAGCCAGCCGTTAACCACTCCTAACCTCCTCAATGCGGTGCAGACTTTAAACACTAGTTTAGCGATTCTTAAACCCAACAACTCGGAAACTACTCAACTAATTACTTACGCCTTAGTGGCCACGGTCATTGCCGGTCTAGTAGTTTACCATTACATTAAAAATCACGAAGCCAATGATTAATTGAAAAGATTATCTCCCGGACTTCAAAAAAGCCCTCACTGGTTTTTATGAAGAAAGTTTAAAAAACACCGTGGAAACCAAAACCCACGAGTTTAAAAGCCTTTTAGAAAAAAATATCACCTATGGTCAAAAAACTCAGCAAGCTTTAATTGCGATTGCCTTAGGGATATTCTTCTTACTGCTGATTGCTTATTTTTGAAAAGACTAACCCACCCTCTCTCTTAACCTAACCCACTTATTAACTTTAAAAAAATCCCAAACTAAACTTATGAATCCCGAAATAAATATGAGTTATCGCTTCAAGTATCTGGCCATCGGCATTATCACTTATGTGGTAGTTACTTATGCTTGAAAGATCTATCAAAAAAACGAATAAACCCTATGCTGAATAAATTAAAAGAACACAAATGAACGATTATCGCCGTAGTTCTGGTGCTAATCGCCCTCTATTACTTTTACCAAAAAAACCAAACTAACTAGTTTATGAAACCAAAAACCCTTCAAAAACCCACTAAACGAAGTGTCCAAGAACGCTACTGAAATACCGTCGGCCAACAATCCCACTATTTAGTGGCTGACTTACTCAACAAAATCCTCCCTTTACCCAATTTAAGAGATAAAAAAAACTTAGACTTAGAACAAGATGCCGACTACCGCACCCTCCTTTTTGAATTTGAAACTAACTATTCCCAAGTAGCCAACCTACCGGATCCAGAAACCTTGGCGGAAGAAATTGCTTATGAATATCTTTTGCTAGTGGTGAAAAGTCTCTTGCAAAATCTAAGCAACTTTAACTGTCATCTCCCCGACTACTTTAGTGGTCTAACTGAACTTTAAAAATTATGCCTAATCTCAATCAACCAAAAAAAACTAAGCCAAAAAATAAAACTAAAAAAACCCTCTCCTTACCCACTCCTTCTAAACCTAAAAAAGTTAAACCCTCTCCCGTCGACTACTATAACTG